CCATGCTCTCTGTCCCTCATTCTTCTCATTGTTTCTCATTTTTTCTCCCCATCAACCTTCAAAGTCACATTGAGCTGAGTGCCTCTCTACACAGGTTAAAAGCAGGGAAAACAAAGATTCCATCAATTACTTGTAATGAGGTCAGGCATCTCAAGGTTACAGTTGATAAACATGTTACACATTTTCTCCAGTTTGTTTGGTGAAATGTTAAGACTTGACTATTCAGAGTATGGCAACATGACTCTAATATTGATAGGGCATGTGAAACCAAATCTTTCTTTTCCTGGCCTGAAGCTTGCGTGGGAAGTAACAGCCATATTAAAAGGAGATTCCAATTGGGCAGAGCCATTGTTGGACTGTAAAATTCAAACGAGGCAAGTATTTGCCATTCACTCTCATTCCCGTTATATGCAGAGTCAATATATGATATTGACAGACGAGAGCTGGCCACCAGGCGAGGTGCTTGTTTGTGTGCAGTAGGTTTGGTCTCCATTGAATGCTAAACCACTGAAGTCAAAGATAATTTGTCAAAGAAACAGAAGTTTATAAAAGGTAACTGATCCAGTCTAGTGCACAGATTCAGTTAAAAGACACCTATTGATTTTGGTTTTTATTACCAATGTTGTAAAACAGCTTGGATATGTGACATCATTCTAACTTGTATTTTGAACCAAGACTACCATTATGCCTGAGTTTAGGCTCTGACCATTTAGTGGGTTACCATTTAAGCTTGTATTGGTTGCCTCACTGGGATTTTTAGGTTCAATATGTATGTATATAGAGTCCAGGGTTATTCAGGGGCATATTTTAATTAAATGTTAAAATATGGCTCTTTTGATTTAAAAAAAAATCCTTTGTTTGAGTAAAATGAATAGCCAGCACTTTGTGTGGTTGTACATGGTTGGCAAACTTGGGACTGATGTTGTGAGTTGTGCTTTACAATAGCAGTTCCTTCCAACCAAGGAGGAGACCGCCTCCGTGGTGTAGTGGTTAGAGTGTCCGCCCGGAGAGCGGAAGGTCACGGGTTTGATCCCCGACCGCGTCATACCAAAAGATGTTAAAATATGGTACTTGTTGGTCCCTGCCTGGCGCTCGGCATTAATGGGTACAACAAGGACTGGTCGTCTCGGAGTCAGTATAATGTGTCTGAGTGGGGTATTCATGCTTCACTGTGGCGTGGTGTCTCAGTGGGCTAGCACTATAAAACCTGCTTAAGTCTGGTCTAGTACAAGCAGCCGCACATACACATACACACGCATGCACGTCGTCATGTGAGTGAAATATTCTCAAGCGTGACGTTAAACCCAATTTCACCTCACCTTACCCACCAAGTATGCAGTAAGATAAATTATAATTAAAACATTTGCAGCTATTTACACATCCAATCCACATATTAAGCCAGTTAGAAGTTAGAATCCACTTTGAGGTTTGTAAATATTGCTTAGATTGAATACTGATGGGCCTATTTCATTACTAATGCTAGTCTGTCTTCCAGGATCCAGTTGTATCATTGCTTCATTAACTTATGTCAACATTAAACCCTAATGATACATTAAATCCTTAATGCATCATTAGTTAATGGCAATGTTAAAAACGGTTGTATCAAACACTTATTAGCGTATCATTATCTAATGACGTCCTAATGTAAATATTTTCATTAAATTCGGGGATTCCCCTAAATATTTCCCACAATTCCGCAACATAAACACGCAAGCGTTACTCTCGGTCATCTGTCAAAATGGCATCTTTACGGCTAAACCTCGGAACAAAAACAAACATTTCGATTGCTGTGAAGAAACACATCTAAATAATTCTGAAGGCCGAAGTGAGCTTTCTGCCATATTGGATAGGGTTTACAAAATCAAGTTTCGCTTAGGCCGGTCATATGACGCCTATTACATCACGTATATTTCATATTCAGTTGTGACAAATGCATCGCTGAATTCCTCATGCATTTTAGAATCAACTTACAAATGGTCTTTGTCACTAAAACTAAGTGTCCAGAAAAAAAAAAGAAACATTGGGTGTGAAAACGGAGCGTTGTGCTCATAACACAGCGCTTGCTAGAAAAGTAAACAAAGCGAAATCAGATTTTATACTGGGCAGCATTTCCTCAAGTTTTTGGACATAAGTTTCTCTATTCGTAGCATGCATTAGCTCAATAATTTTAGAATATACACAGAAAGAGTATCGTAGCAAGAACTAGAAAATTAAAAACAGATACAATACAAAAATTTGATATATTCATGTGCAGCGATACGCCATGCCAGACACAAAATCATGGAGAACGACATAGGCAATTATCGGCATTTCTGACTTTTTCAATGAAAACAATAAAAACAAATAACCATACGCAGATAGTCAGAATGTTTTCGATTACTTACATCATACATTTATGGGCAAAGGTTCCCTCGCAAAATCGTGGGCACATATATCCACGAAGCCGCCATTTTATGAGAAATCGGTCATCGGTAGTGATGTCATACGTCAACATTGTTGGCAATATCTGAGGTGAAGGTCGGTTGAATAAGAATAAACACACTGTCCTGCAGATTACACTTTAATATGTTTCAGTATTATGTATACTTTGCGTATCGTTCACATATGGTTTCATGAAACTAATTTCACTATCAACATTTAGTATTTTAAACCTAAGTAAAACTGACATAATAAATAAAAATTATTTATTTATTTCATGAAATGTATATATGCACACGTTTTTAAAGGATATGTCTTGTGCATTGAATTTGTTTATGTTGTGGTATAGACAAAACAATGGCGTATAATCATTGGCCAGGTGCGCGTTTGTCACAAATACTTTGAGTATAATTCCGTGAACAAAACACATCCACGAACATGTAGTGTCCTTATTCACAGAAATTCTCTCCAAGTGATCTGAGTTACAATGACTTAGTATTAAGCATAGCGGAGTGATCCCCCCTTATCTTTATAAGCTTATGACCTTTTTGTAGCCATTTGACGTCATAGGGGAAATTCCATTTTCAACACATATTGCGATTCATTTTTAAGATTGAGTGTATAACGTTAAACATAGGCACACAAACTAATTTAATACATACCTATGTTGTTCAGGTATCAGGCAGAATTTTATTGGCTCACACTTTCCTTAAAGATTCCAAATTGAAAATATAGTAGCACAGTACTTTTATCGGTGCACGATAAAAAGCAGAGAATTTTTTTGTTTTTAACGCACAACAAAATTAGGGGTAACATTTAGCAGTGTCTACTTTTCAAACTGAGTTTATACCATGAGATAGGACATTTAATACTCAACATTTCTGTGTAATTTCATAGCTGTAGGTAGATAGAGTGCTGCGCAAACGAAATTCTGGCGCAATGTTCACTTTTCCAGGAAGTTTAATGACGCTCTAATGATACCCCATGACCTTCATTAAGTTAATGACGCGCTAATGACAACACGTCATTAAAACCATAGTACAACAGAATTTAATGACACATTACTTAATGAACATTTAATGGCTCGTTAATGCTTCATTAAAGTTTGATACAACCGGGTCCAGATACTTAAGAATAAATTAAAAGAGGAGCCCAGAATGATCTTTTAAGTTCTTATTATATCAAGAGTTGTTCTGGGCTCCTTTGCGATTTTATTAGTGGTTACTTTTGTAGATAAAGTTGTGTAGCTTACCAAGCTGCACGTTTCAGTTAGAATGAATCAGAATATACTCAATGATGTGTGGCCGGGTCAGCTACATAACTACTGACAACTGTACTTTACACTGTTCCTATGTCATTTTAGATAAAGGTGGTTCCCATGGCAATTATTTTGTCTGCAATTTGATCACAAAAAGTACTGTATGACTTAAACATTATGTATGGACTGAGGCTACTTAGTTGTAACCTGAGTAGCACAACGTTATTTCCTTAGTTGATACTGTGTAACCTGTAGCCAACATCTCTGTAAGAATCACTCTTTAATTTTGTTTTATTTGTTTTCTTCTTACTTGTGTTTCTGTAAATGTCAGGAAATCGTGGGGTATTTTTAGCGAAATATTTTACTCTTATTGTGAAATAAAGATGAAAATTTAAAGAAATGTAAATGTTCAAGAATGCTTGAAATATGTTTTAAGGGGCTTTATGATGAAATACGAGATCAGAAGATGAGGAAAAATGCATAGGCTCTGTTTATAACATTTTAACATGTCTTCAGAAGCTTTATGTTTGCTATTACCCATTGGTAAAAGTTGTTTTAGAAACTGGTGGATGTATCATCCAAGCTATTGCTGATGGCCAGCATCTTTCTCTGCACTGATTTTTTCTGGTGAAATTATTCAAAGGCATTTAGAAGTTGGTGTAGTAATACAAGACAAATATATGGATAACATCTTCTTTATTTGTTTCTCATGACATTTCTGGGCTAGTTCTTGATCCACCTGAAGAAGCAGAGAAAGATGCTGGCCAAGAACTAACAAGCCAAGAAAGGTCTTGAGAAACAAATAAAGAAGTTGTTATCCATATATCTGTCTTGTATTACAAGTTTCTGGTTTTCTTGCTTCCATGCTGTGGATCTACATCTAGTAATGTGCATGTTACTGTGAACCTAGAGGAATATTGTGGTAATCACTCACTCACTTGATCACCCATGTATTCTGGGAATGCACCCATGAAACATCATGTCATGGCCCTTGCAGCATTGATGGTTGAACACTTGTATGACTCCCAGAGGACATAAGCACCTTACAGTGTATTGTGATCAAGTTCTATTAAATCACAACTGGCAGGAAATAACACTTAGTCATATTAATGTAAGCCCTACTTATCCAAACAATCTTGCCATTTCATTTTCATTACCGGTAGTTTTCATTTCCTTTCTATAATGACTGTAGACTAATTGAATGAATATGTGACATATTTTTTGCATTGTTTTGTTGCATGCATCAAACTAATTTTGTCACACAGGATTTCAGTTTGTGTCTTCAGATGAATTGCTTCTAATCATGATTTGTCTTGTTTTACAGGATTGGGCTTCTAAAGTACAAGGACAGCTTGAGAAGCAGCTGAATATCACCCAGGTCTAACAGAACAGAAAGTCATTTTAGAAAAAAATCTTAGTTAATGGAATTGAAAAAAAATCAGAGCATACAACTTATTTTCTCTGGAGATGATCATACCAAGGACATACATTTACAATAAAATCATTGCATTTATCTGCTGTTTGCATGGGGATATTTTTGCATTGGAAGTGTATGCTCACTTAGATGTCATTATCTGAAGGAACAGGTGTCGTATGTAAGTTTAATGACTGGAAGGAAACATCCTTTATGAGTTTTTCTCTATTATTTGTACATATTTGTAAAAAAGATACTCTTTTATGAAATACAATATTTTGGAAGAATACATATTTTCTGTACAAATATACACCTTTCTAATTGTAAATATATATGTTATAACAGTTGTTTGTAAATTAATGTGAAATAAACGTTGTGTATGCATGATGTGATTATTTTGTAATTCGTATGTTTGTGGCTTGAGGAATTATAACTGTATAGTAACTGTATTGGAAGTAACTATCAGTGGCAGCTTATGACTGAAGTGCTAGTAAAATGTTGTGTGCTGCCAGAGGGTGAAGTTTGTCTGCCCATGGGTATTTTACAAAACAAGGCTGGCCTGATATTTCAAGAAATTATACTTAGTGCAGTTTCTAGAAGGTGTGCTTGTATAAGAGCAACAAGAGAATGTTTTTACCTGACTTTCCTATTATATACACCTCGTCAAATTATCGCACTACCCATTTGAAAGTCAAAGTAGAAATATAATTTAGGTTTTTTTACACAACTCGGACATATGTAATATACGACACCATCATAATATCACAAACACACCCTGTTACGAGCTACACGTGCATGCTTCCCTAAGTATGCATGTTCTGGGGGGTCAGTTTGCTGTAAATGAAGTATGCACAGAACCCCTTTTGGCGTATGTTATGTTGGCAGACACGGCTAAAATTTGATTGTAGGCATGAATTAAGCTTTATTTTGACTAACCAGTGAAATGCCCAAGCGTCCCGGGCCTCTGAACCAAAGATGGCAAATTCTTGGTATGCACCAGACTGGTGCTATTGGAGCACAACTGAACATTAATCACACTGTCATCAGCAGGCTGATACGTACGCATACTGCTACCGGTGAAGGGAAGGAAGCACTGAGGTCTGGATGCCTCACAAAATCCAATGACAGGGAAGATCGTACTCTCGTACACCATGCCAGACAAAGCCCAATGTCTATTTGTACACAGCTGCGACATGGCTGGCATCCATAAAACAGAGTGTCCATCCGCACCATCAGACGATGCCTAAATTCTGCAGGATTGAGAGCAAGACGACCAATCAGACGTCCACTCCTCACAAATCAGCACCACCATGCCCATCTAGCCTGGTGCCAAGCACGTGCTCGCTGGAACCTGAGGACATGGAGAAGGATCCACTGGTCCGATGAAAGCCGATTTTTGCTGCATCATACAGACGGGAGGGCACGAGTTTGGAGGCAGAGAGGCACAGCATATGATCGGAGGAACATTCAAGCTGAAGTTCCATTTGGGGGTGGACCCATCATGGTGTGGGGGCGTTGTTCCTATGACTGTAAACTTGACCTCATCACAGTTCCCGGGGCATTGTATGGACAGTGCTACCAGAACTTGATTCTGGACGGTGCTGTAGTGCCTCATATCGATAACCATGCTCTCGTCACACGTCCAGTCTTCATGGACGATAATGCCAGACCACATCGTGCTCGAGCTGTTGTTCAGCATCTCCCACACAACGCCATTGAGCCTATTGAGCATTTGTGGGACATTTTGGAACGTAGGGTGAGAGCAAGGGATCCTCCAGTTCAGAACCTTCAGGAACTGACCCATGCATTGCATGATGAGTGGCAGCAGATCCCAAAACAGAGAATCAGACGTCTGGTGGCCAGCATGTGACAGCATGTAGAAAATGTTATCCAAGTGCGAGGCGGTTACACCAGATACTGAGTTAGCCAGTTATTGTAGACCTAACCAGTGTGTTCAGCATTAATGAAATGTGAACTGTGTTGTGTCTGTTGTAACGACCCCAGCAGCCATACTTATTTCACCTTATTTTACAGTGATTTTAGTGAACTTCAATTAGTGCTCAAATTCGGTCTTGTGTTGTCAATTTTCTGACTGAATGCTCACATGAGGCCATCTAAACAGTTTAATGTGCTTTTCTAAGCACCATTTTTATGAGATTGTAGATCCAGTTTTACTTAGTGGGTGGTGGGTGATGCGATATTTATGACAAAGTGCATACATTCGAGTGGTAAACATCAAATTCCCATCAGCTTGTAAAACAGACTTTCCTGCTTTCAAACTTCGCAACATTTTTGAGCACATACATAGTTACAGACACTGTTACGTTTTGCTGCTGGCAGTCTTGATCCTAAATACTTTGGGATGACTTCCAAATGAGGTCAAGGTCACTTAAAATCAATAGACCACCATTAAGGTTTTTATGAAGTTCGTGAGTTCCCAACAGTATCTTGAGCGTTTAATACTGGATGTGAAAGTGAAAGTGTACACTTTACAAGGCATTACATAGCCCAGATTTTTTTCGGATGCTCTTTCATCGTGTCTGGCCCGAATATATATATACACATGCTCTTTCATCGTGTCTGGCCCGAATATATATACACACATGCTCTTTCATCGTGTCTGGCTCGAATATATATACACACATGCTCTTTCCTCGTGTCTGGCCCGAATAATATATATATATATATATATATATATATATACACATGCTCTTTCATCGTGTCTGGCCCGAATTCGATTGTTCACATACCGCGTCTTCACCTGCAATACCGCATGCTGGGGCATCAAACAAACATTCATGATATAGTCAGAATTGCACCATCGAGTCAGCTTTAGCAGAGATTTCGTACCAATGTGGAGAGGGGTTGTCATTTCTATTTATAGCCGTACTACTTGGGGCATGTTTTTTCCAAAACCTGATTGATGTCGGGCGGATACAGCTTCTTGAGAAAGGGGATGCACACTATTGAGAAAGGAAGGGTGTGCACACTATTGAGAAAAGGAATGGTCATTTAATAAACTTTCAGGACGGGTGTGTGTGAGTTTGTGTGGTGGGGTTTACCCCAGCACAAACTTTTTTGTCCTGAAAGTTTATTAAATGACCATTGTGTGGGTGAAAATGAAGTGTGCACCCCCCCTTTCACAATACACACCCTTCTCAAGAAGCTGTATCCGCCCCTGACATCAATCAGGTTTTGGAAAAAACATGCAAGATTTTTGCAAGAAGCGGGACATATTCAAATATGGACAGCAATGTTCACTACAAAGTGACAGACAACCAGGCGCTTACCATTTCCACTGACAGAAGTAAAAATAAACACATCTATTTATCGTACTTGAACAAGTTCGACATGGCAGGCCTCGGGGGGAAGTGACTGGTGGAGATCTATAGGTATGCTTCAGTCTGGTACCTCGCAGCCAAGCTCGTCACGCTAAAAGACCCGGGTTGGATTCCTCACATGGGTACAATGTGTGAAGCCCTTTTTTGGTATCCCTCGCCGTGATATTGCTGGAATATTGCTAAAAGCACCGTAAGACTAACCTCACTCACTCATGCAGCGTGACTGCTCATCGATTCAAAGTCCATAGAAACAACATCTGGTACTTACGGCGACATTTTCAACAAAACAGTAACGTTATAGACCGCCCCCGTAGCGGCTGCCATCCTCAAGACCCATGGATTCGAACCTCGTACCTCAAGCACAGCTGGACTGACATGGTAGAGTCCACACTTCAATCATTTAAGCTAGTACCTGGTGTAATCTTGGTATGTTTGCTGCTTAGTTAGCTCCAATAGGTTGGTTTCATCCTGCACGGACTTAATACGGCACAAATCCAGAAATAACATTTAATTTTCAAAAGCTGATTAATCAGGTGAAACATCATAAATTATTGCTTAACGATATTTTGAAATATCCTCACATTTATGGAAGGATGATCTCACATAGATAATTATTACTTCTGTTCTGTCTCCCATTAAATTGTGAGTGATTGCCTGTCTTCTTGTGTACCAATCCGTTTGACAGCATCAGGTTTCTAAGTGAATGCTTTGGGGAATGAAAGAATGTAAGCTTATGGTTGAATAGCAAGTCAGAGGAACATTAAATAAGTATCAGACTTGAACCTTGACAGAATCAGATAACCATTATGTCTATCCATTTCTTAGGATTTGTTATTGAATACGAGTAGTTGTGGCTTTATTTTCTGCTTATAATATATGGCTTACCACTGACATTTCAGGGCTAAATAAGACGGGGAACAACAAGTATCTCATATTTCTTCAACATAAATGTTAATTACATATTTGAATTTGTGAATATTGTGAATGAATAAGTTGGTATTCAATATGAAAGACAGTTTCAGCAGTCAGCATTAGCAAATGTTATCTAGGTTAATGAATGACATGTTCCTTGATGGACGACTTCGTCCCAATGGGTGTTCCATGCCAGAATAGGTCACTGGAGGTTCTTCACTAGCTGACTTTATAGGCGTAAGATTACAGTTACAATAGGAATCAGGTTACTGTTAGGTAAGGTAGCGTGTCACCCACCCCAGTGACCCCATACACATTGCTGCTGGCACAAGGAGACTGGTGTTGCCATACTGGTATATTGGAGAATACAAGTACAGTGGCAAGGACAGTGGTGCTGGTGTAGTGAGACTGGCCTGGCCAAACTAGTGCACTTGCTGTTATATCACAGCGTGTTAGGTTCATATTATGTTGGAAGAAATCCAGGAGTGATTCAACCCACCAAGGTGAGGAGCAGGGTATGGTCCTGGCCCTACAAACAAAATGAAACCAATGATCACAAGTTTCAAGACATGCGACTACGCACAGCTATCTTTTTTATGGTAACATACTAGTTAGTGAGTGAGTGAGTTTGGTGTTACGCCGAATTTAGCAATATTCCAGCAATATCAGGGCGGGGAACACTAGAATTGGGCTTCACACATTGTACCCATGTGGGGAATCGAACCCGGTCTTCGGCGTCACGAGCGAATGCTTTAACCACTCGGCTACCCCACCGTCCCGCATACTAGTTATGAATAATGAAAAGACTAGTAATTTTACTGTCCTTCGTAGGCAGGCTTTATAAAGGATAGATGTGTATTTCATAGTCTATGGAAGAAACTCACTAATTCATACGCTCACACCTCAGACAACTGGCTCACGAAGCAGTTTGGAAGTACAGTTTAAAAGACCATCTGCAGTTTTCTACAATAATGCAGCCCAGATGTGACCCTGCTGCAACCAACATCACCCCCTCCAGGGTGCTGTTGTGCAAAACAACCTTATTATAGCGCTAAGACTACCTTAAGTCTATGTAAAGGTGTGGGAGGTTACGGTCACCATAGCGCTAAGATCGCTTTGTACAACGGCACCCGG